TGCGATTCTCATAGTTTCCTTAAGGTACATTCACCAAATTTTTCCAGGTTTCCCTCGCTGTACTCTCATTTTTCGTTTTCTCTTTTCATCCGCAGATGCTGCACCAGAGTCAGACATGGTGAAATTGATATCTACCCGCTTTACCTACTGCGAAGAAATCCCTTTTGTTTCCATCTAGTACCAAGTCGACAAGTAAAGAAGTAAATATTTCATCCTGAAACATCGGCGGGTTCACTATTTTCATCCAACCGTGGAACTATGTACTCAGGAACTACTATCCAACATCGTAGTAACAGTAATAATAATTTATTTCCGAATTTACTGGTGCATGTCATTTTTACAAATGCTGTTATAACATTTAGTGGTTTAAATTTTTTGGTATTGGTTTTGCCATCTCTTTTTCATCCCAGGTAGTGGAAACCCCCAGTCTTAAAGAAAGAGGACTTTACGCCTTTTAGTGCGCTTTACGTTAAACGTTGAACTCTTTTATGTTTCCAGATTGTCTAGCAGAAATGAAAGTCATGTTCAACTAGTGTGCAAAACCATCATTCAAGAAAAAAGGGGAAACAATTGGGCAACTTCATTCTAAAGAAAAAGTAACGCTGGCCAAACTACTGAAGTCTTTTCATTTGAAATATCTTGTACATAGGAGGAAGTAATACGGTAGATTCTACGTATTATTAAGAAGAAACGCATCTTTAGGAGCATTGCGACCGCAAGGTATGCTGTACATACCATCATAAATAATGGTGATAACAATATACCACCTCCTCCGTGAAATGTTCTATTTTTGTTCGCTGATGCTAATGTTATACTGACTAGTGATTGAACATCCGACGAACCTTCTATGCGGTAAAAACCGTCACTGTTATGCTGCTTGTAAGCTCCTTATTCGAAAAAATACTTATATTTTACAGCTTCTCCAGTCTTTATGCTCATACTAAGTTCTAAATGTTACTTACGACCACTCGTCTTTTTGTAACGCTGATAGTGAATCTTGCGCGCTAGACCGCTAATCTCCCTCTTCTCATCTTGCACCCATACTTGTTTATTGTCTCAAAAGCGTGATTCAACAAATTTTTACCTACTAAAATTTCTGACCAGTCCACTATTGTGATGTAGCTATTCTCCTGCTTTAAGCTTATAAGACACAATTACCCGGACAATTTTTGTTAAGTTATATGGCATTCGTGTTATCATCCTTCTGTATTTAAAGTGGATTACTTCCAACATAGCGTGTAACAGTTCTCTTACATTTATTTCTTTTGGGAAATGCAAATGAAATCCGTTCTCGCGAAAAACTGACGTATGTAGAAACCTTTGATATCCATTATCTCATCCAGCGCTGTACATCAGTTCTGCTTGTGTAAACTTGCTGATCATCTTTCAGCAGTGAAACTTCACCAGCCAGAAGTACAATCATGCTTGTAAACTGGTGTGCAATTGTACTTGTAAAAATAATTTTTTTATTATCACTAATTTTCTTTGTGGGTTGGGCTGATTAGAAAGCTACGGGTTGCCGGGAGAGCTGAAGCTTTTCCCCGACTCCTGTGGGCATGTATGTCTGGATGAGAGCATTGGGACAATGGGAAATGGTATATAAGCAAAAGGACGGTATGTGGTTAGTAAGAAGGGATTGGTAGGGGGCTAGTGAGTTCAGCAATGTCCTTGGTCCATCTCCGGTAGGCTGAAGGAACCAACATAGGCGTTCACCCCTTTTAATGAGTCTACTGAGGGGGGCTGCGACTACATCCCATGGCTAAGCGCTCAATAAAGCAAATGCTCTCAAAGAAAAGGTTGACCTGAATCCATTATCGGTTCTCTGATGTGCTACCCTGTTAGGGTTCCTTCGTGATTAACGCCATGTTGCAGGTAAGGTTGCTTGCCTGGGCAACTTGCCTGATGTTTGATCCTATGTGTCATAAAAAGTCTTATTTTTCTACCGCGGCCTCAAGACCTATGAGTGCCTCAGTCTTTCAGAGCATGACCTCCCCCCTTCCGGACCGACGACAGATTCGGAATCAAGTCTGCATTTTTTAGGGGGAAATTGAAGTTTATCTGCAATGTTGGGGCTGCTACCCTACTGAAAACTTCTGGGCGCAGCCGTGCATGGGGTTCAAAAACTATTAGAAACAGTCTAGGAGTGAAAGCACCGAGCTGTTTGCGCATTCAGAGTAAAGTGGCTTTCTTCCGCACTTCCAATCTTTTGTAATTAGAGCTGGTGTATAGGTTGTTAGACACTCGTGATGGCACGGTTTCACAACTTGTGTTCGGGTTCGGCCGTCCTTGCTTCGCGGGTCCTGAAGTTCATCACTTTCATTTTTTAGGTTGAAGATCTGGTCGATTTCTTACGAGCAGGGTTCTAGCTACTTTATATCCTTCTGGGGTGCGTTGCAGTCGGTCTCTTCGCATACCACCCCCCAAATTTAATGTCATCATCAACAGAAGGATGGGTGGAGTCATTTTGTGTCGGTAATCATAGTCGAACAGAAGAAACAGGAGTGGTCCCGGGATTCCTTGCTGGGGTACCTCTGTGCTGATGGGACAACCACAACCTTATTCAGTTCTGCGTTGTGTAGAACTGTCTGCCTCCAAGGTACACTTTGTATCAAGAGAGTAGAGGTCCACTTGTTCCTGCTAGCATAATGTTTTAAAATAACACTCCATATGAAACATAGTTATATGCTTTTTTTGGTTAGATTAAAATAACATGAGAAATTTTCTGTCGTCCCAGCTAGCGGCCAGGACGTTTCAATCAGTCCACTTGTTGGCGCTACGTAAATGACAACTCTGAAATCTATAATGAAAAGCATGCATTGCACTTCCCCTGTTGAGGGAGTCCGAGAAATTGTCTACTACCAAATTTTCCAATAGTTTGGAAAGCACAAGAAGTAGAAGAATCGGTCTGTGTCTACCAGGACATTTTCTTCATTCTCTCATGAAAGTGGGTAAAAAGGTCGTGCGCTTGCACTCTATGGAGAGCCCGTATGACTCCAGCAATTGCTCTTGAAAAGATCACAGACTCGTTTCGTGACCGTCTTGGCTGGGACTGGCGTTCTCAGTTAGCCAAAGCCGGGGAACTTTCCTCAACAGCTTCTCCAATACCCTTTTCTGTGTGGTGGGAGAGGTGAGAAGGGAATTCGTTACCCTCGGCCTGACCAGCATCTTTTCGCATCAGGGCAGATTCGGCATCGGAGGTGCTCAGCTGCGCTACAAATCATGAGTTCGGAATACCAGTGATTTCTGAACTGCCCACCATTTCTCCATCACAACATGTTAGGGGACTAACTTCTTTGCTAATCGACTTTCTTTTTCGACAAGGAACGGCCCAGGCTTTTTGGGTTACTTTGCAACCTCCTAACCAGTTCTCTTCAAAGGCGCCACGTGTAGCTGCGGACTCTTACATTTTATTGGTTGGGAATCCTTTTCCAGGTCGAGAAACTGTAGTCGGTGTCTTACAGACGTCACTAGAACTAGGCCTGCTATTTATCGAGAGTAGCCAAAGTGTTTTATGCTTCACCCGTTAGCTTCTCACCGACGGCTATTGTGCCACGTTTGACACACTGTGGCGGACAGTTTCGAGGGCTATTTCCCTAGCCAATATTCATGTATTTAGAGATAGTTTCCTTTTTCAGGCAGCAGTGCACCCATGAGGCAACCTCTTATGGTCTCATATCTGGTGTCGCCGTAGCAAGGGAAAATATTCATTTTCTCAAGCTGTAGAGCCTCCTAAATAATCACGATGAAAGTTATTACTGCATGATCGCCACGATTAAGGAGCGGCTGGACACATATGGTCCCAACCTACTGCATAACATGCCTTCTTCAGCTTGTAACCGAAGGATTTGGTGATGTGTCGTTCCTCGACATCGAAACTCACAGACGGAGGGTTGAAGTTGTCGGTAACCTTGACATGTATCTCTCCGTCAGGAATGATGGTAAGGGCCAGGATGACGTCAGTTTCCAGGCGTTCGCGGAGAGCCCTAACCTCCATTATTTTCCTAGTCCTCATCAGTCCGTTTCCCCCGGGGTTTTGCTCACAATGTGCTAGCAGAACATCGTAGCGGAAGTTTTATTACTCGATGCACTTGCTACACTAGCTTGTGTCTGTGTGACAGCCATTGACTGCTGAAAAATTTCACATCGGTGTGGCCATGGCTACCAACAAATGTGTTTTGCAGGAGTAGCTCTTATGTGATCGAAAACCTGCAGCACAAAAATGCGGATGTAACCCAGTTTAAAAGGCAGGTCAATCATATAGTTGTTTCACTGACAATTTGTGAACGGTCTCCAGTACATGACTCAGGACCTACACTCATCTGTCCTTATAAAGGTTAATAGAATATCACAGATGACATGGTGCGTGACTTTAAATTCGGTTTAGTGTCCTCGAAACAGTTTTCGGGTTCACACTTCCGACAAACCTATGTTGTATTACCAACATTTTGTTCAGAAGTAACAGGTTTTTATTCAGGTAAGTAATGGAACTTGAAGCTGGAAGCGTCTATCAGTTTACATCCGACGAAATCAGTTCCTTTACTAAATGTCCTTTGCATTTTAAAATATTTGAAGATGAATTCACTGGTTTAAGCATTTAAACTCTGGTAGATCATTACAATTGTCACTTCAACTCAAATGTACTTGACCATACTAGCAGCACGGCTGTAAGACTTGTCTCTTGTCAGACCATTAAGATCGTTTTCATCATGCTTACAAAAAGCCTGTGCAAGTGTTTCAGGCACATCATTAATTCAGACCCTGAAAAATGACTTCTTTTTTCCAAGAGAAGAAAACATGCTTAAATGTTAGCGGTTAAAAAATAAAATGAATCTGTTGTCTGAAATCGGTCACGGTCTTTCGAGTAATGTCACACATACCTGAATGTTTGAGTCATATTTCACCCAAAATAAAAGCTCAGAATTTCACTGTAGTCACTATGTGGCTGACATAAAATATTGAGCAAACGTAATACTTTGTCACGGTTACACTGATGTACAACACCAAGGTCGCGCACTTTTTGAGCGTTCTACTCTTTCGATGGACTTTTGATTCTTTATGTTATTGAGCGTGGACAGGTTATGTCAACTCCAATTTCTAGTCTGAACAGTTTATTTTCATTCACATCTCCTGCTGTAAAGCGGCTTCTTGGCTGGAAGCAGGGAGATGAAGAGGAAAAATGGGCTGAGAAAGCAGTTGACTCACTTGTTAAGAAACTTAAGAAAAAGAAAGGTGCTCTGGAAGCTTTGGAACGCGCCCTAAGTAATCCTGGGGAGCCGTCAGAATGCGTTACTATCCCGAGGTCTCTAGATGGTCGACTCCAAGTTTCTCATAGGAAAGGATTGCCTCATGTGATATACTGCCGAGTGTGGAGGTGGCCAGACCTGCAAAGCCACCACGAACTGAAACCTCTTGAGTTCTGTCGATTCCCATTTTCAGCCAAAGAAAATGAGGTTTGCATAAACCCGTACCACTACCAACGTGTTGAAAGCCCTGGTAAGTGCCTACTCTTTTCCGACTGTTAAAATAAAATGTAACCCAGAACGTGCTTATGTATTTGGGTATGTGCCACACTTGTGCGAAAGCTTTTGATATCAACCAGTTTCTTAAGCCGAAATAGGTCGAGGTGGAACTGAACGTGGTCATTTTCTATCTTCTGGATACGTCTTGTTTTGTTCTGGTGAAGTTAGGTCCACACTTAATCTGGACTTCTATTGTACGCATAATTTTTTCTTAACTGAAAATTTAAGTTGACTTCTAGCTTTATGTGTAATGCTGACTGATTATATTCATCAATATCTGGAGACTACAGAAAATACCACCACAGTACTTTGTAAATACTCCCTTTCTTTGTAATTTCTGTCCACTGGCTGCTTATATCTCTTCAACTGGTGGCTTCTCACTAAGCCCGTCATTATTCACATGGTTAGGATATGCTCTTTACTTGAACCAGTGGATGTAAAAATTTCAGTCTCACAGTGTTATAAGCCCACACCTGAATTATGCCCCGAAGAAACTAGTATGTAGATCTTACTGGGTGAATGTTCTTACGATATCTAGTTCTATCTAGACAGCAATTTTAAGCGTTGGTTATCTGGAAAATAAAAGAAAGATCGAGAGTTTGTAGTGACTATATAATTTGTTGAATACTGAAGTAGTTTCAGTGGTTCTTACTGGGGGTTCCTACAACAGCTGCAGTGTACTTAAAACCCTAAGTCGCAACCGACACGTAATAGCAAATGAGTTTGACGTCATATTTTGTACTGTTTTTTAATAAAGGACATTCTAGTACTGTTGGGAGACGCGCTCACACCAGGATAAATAAAATACACGTTTGATGTGACCACTTGGTATCTGAAAACAAAATAAACGGGCATCTGTATTTTTGTCTCCAAAATTTGGTGCTTTGAATATGTCGTAATACCGATCACAATGACATTCTCTTCTTTAACTGTTGATATCGGAACAACGATGCATGATTTCAGTAATGAAATGAGGATAGATGTTTTTTATATGAATCAATCAGTCATTATCAACATAGGATTAAGCATTACTGCGTAACGGTCCGACTTGCCACACCTCACGTCAGCTGATTAAGTAGAAAGGTAGTGAGGTGAAGGATGAAGATCAGAAAATTCAGTCAGAAGAAATATAAAGTACGAGAAGAGAGAAAGGAAGAATGAGAAAGTGGTGAGATTCGGTATAGCGTCGTTAAGATGAGGATAGTGTGTGAATACATCTGCGCCACTGACATCGGTTCTGAGCCATATCACCTAGAGTCTCCAACCACTGGTTCCTCTTGTCCCGCGGACCCCAACCACCTATTCTGCGTCGCCTCACGTGGCTCAGAAGAGCAGTTAAGGACTTCATGCACTGATGCCATGTTTTAGTCTGGCCACCTCAGGCCTTTTACCGACCTGGACCCACCTCAGCCAACATTGTGTGACGAGGCGATCGGTGACTAGGCATACGTAATACGTGTCCCAACCATCTCAGTCGATGAAGGTTCATAACCTCGTCAACTGACTTACCTCTTCTCCCTAAAACTCTATACCTGACATCTGCATTACTCACGTGGTGACACCAGGGAATGCGTCCTATACTACGAAGGCAACGGTGGTCAAACACCTGAAGCCTTTTTATATCCTCCACTTTCAATGGCCATGGTTCACAACCATACAGTAGAACAGAGCGGACTGCTGTGCAGTACACGCGACCCTTAATAGACAAACGGACATCACGGCGGCACCACAGGTGGCGCAAATTGGCAAAAGCCAATCGAGCCTTTTATATCCGTGCAGAAATCTCATCGGCAACTAACCCACCAGGGTTGATCCTACTTCCCAGGTAAGTGAAGTGGTCAACACACTCAACCACTTCACTCTCTATTGTTAGCCACGGTGGGGCACCGCTGAAGACCAGTCCTGGAGCAAACATTTGCATTTGGGTGGTGAAAATCGCATCCCAAACATTCAAATTCCCACTCAAAGTGTTCAGAAGACTCTGCATCTTGTCAGCGTCTTCACCTAACAGGACTATGTCATCTGCATATTCTAGATCTAAAGAAAATTCACCTGTGATTGGGTCAACGTCTGTGTAATTAGGTGACGAGAGGGAGACCTCCATAAGAATATCTGTGATGAAATTGAATAAGAATGGAGATAGTGGGCATCCTTGATGGATACCACTCGATGAGCATAGCTCCCTGGACATCTCACCATAGACTCTAACACGCCTATAAGTGTTCGAGCAGAGAGCCTTCAATAAGTTGATGTACTTGCTCGGCACGCCCTTCAGTGAGAGACATTGCCTTCGCTGCCCACCACTGTTTGCGGTCGTTGTGTAGACTTTTTCTCAATCTACTTTTAAGTTGCGCTCGCTCTTCATTGTACTCAGAGCCTACAGGGAGGCGTTCACGTGCATCCATTAGTTCGAAAGAAGCTGCTGATATCCATTAGCTCTATCTAGCCACTATTTTGGAGTCGGCTACGGTCTTCAACGGTGCTTTTACAGCAGACTAAAGCTGGCACCAAGCTTCTTGTGGATGAGTGACAGTCTTTTGTTCCGATAACTGCTTAGCCAACTTCTGACTGAACACGACTTTGGTGTTCTCGTTTTCCAGTAGTACTCGTAGTGGTTTTTTTGCCAAATTTTTCCTACGTCCATTGAGACGTAGGCATATAGGCGCTCGGACGAAGGCGTGATCGCTGTTCCAATACGTAGTCCAGGAGGAGCGGCAGTCTTCCACCGATCCTCTCCAGCAATGACTAATAGCAATGTGGTCTATGAGTGCCCATCGGTGAGTTGAGCTGGGTGGACGCCAGGTCAGACAGTGTCTTTCTTTATGTCTGAAATTTGTGCTGTCTAAAAATAGGCGGTTATCTGAGCATAGTTGTCGTAGGCGATCACCGTTGTATGTTCATTGGGCCGGGATTCTGAAAGTGCCACCTAATTGCCTTTCTGCCTCAGTCAGTCTACCCACCTGTGCATTGAAGCCACCTGCAACAACCACCACGTCCGGTCGTTTGGCTTTGGAGAGGAGGTTAGAGAGTTTACGTTAGAACTCGTCCTTCACTTCATGTGAACTGCAGTCAGTGGGTGCGTAAACAGAGATTACAAAGAGACAATGGTGAGTCTCCCTATTCCTTTTGGTTCTCACTATGCTATTCAGTCGGATAGCGCAGAGGCAACTATCGACTGGGATCCAGTGTAGTAGTGAGTTTTCTGCCCTAGTACTTAATGCTATGTCTACACCTGCAATATCCCGAGAGCTAGCTAACGAATCTCCAGAAACTCGAAGGGTGAATTTTGCAGATTCACCAGATTGGTCAGGAGAGATCAGGTGAATAACCACACTTGGGTCCTGTATGCGTGTCTCACAAACACAGCACACATCGATGCTAGAGTCTTTGCTAACGAAGCCTGTTGACCAATTTGACGGAGGGTGAAAACATTGAAGGCTCGAATATGTAATTTGGAGCGTGGTTTAAGGGGACCAGTGATGCTGTTCTGTGGACTCAAATCGTTGTCTAAGGCTGTAGAGGTAGGAGAAATTGAAGATGATGCAGCATCATTAATTGAGAGACGTGAAGGAAGATTAGAAGGTAATGATGGAGGAGGTGGATGGTAGTCAGAGGAAACTTGAGTGCTGATTGAGTTGTGAGGGCGGTTGACACTTCCCGGCTGACCGCACCGTGGAAGGCTATTTTTTCTTAAGGTACCTGAAAGATTTGTGTGACCGCAGAGCCCATCGGACATCTGCTTGAGGCCTGTCACACGAAGCCTTTTGAGTATGATTATTTTGAACTTTTGTATTTTTGGGGCCGGATGGTCGAAAGGAAACGGCAAATGAACCAACACCGCCGGCCCGGCGGACCGTGGGGTATAGTGGAGTGTATTTTGGGGGCTGACCTTTTCTAACCCTCCCTTCCACTGAGAAGGCAGCATCAGCATGGCACTGCTGGTCATCCAAGAGAAAACACTTTACTGCTGTCACACGCCATCCAGCTAGCAGCAGTACGACTTCGCCCTCAGACCCCCATCATAGTGTAGCAATTTACACTATAACGGTAACTGCTTTTCATCTAACCACTATCCAACAGACCTTTCTGGTATGGTAGGACCTCGAGGGAACAAGCGTTCCACCAGCATAGCTCGTTGGGTCATTGTGATATGCAAGCCCGACCACCACGTCAATGTAGCAGCTATCGGTCGTGAATTTTTAATGTGATATAGTCACCGACGGATAGTTGCTACCCTGACGTAGTGGTCGTCGTTACATGTGACAGTATCCCAACGAGCTTTCCTAATGTGACGTTTTCCTTGATATTCAACCATGCCAGAAAGCTCTGTTGGTTAGTGGTAAGACAAGAAGCAACTGCCTTTGCAATGTAGATTGCTATACTGTAATGGAGGTCTGGGTGCGAAGTTGTACTGATGACTAGATGGGATTTCACTGCAGTAGGCTATTTCCGGTGGAGGACCAGGACTTCATGAATTCTACCTTATCAGTGTGGGCCGAGATTGAGAAGAGGTTAGCCCCAGTAATAGCATGCCTCCCCCTCTCCTGAGGTCTTCCGGTTTTAGTAATCTGCGTCTCCCAGCTGAATTAGAGGTAATCAGTGCTAAACCTCAGACTTCCAGAAAGGTCGTCTGTGACCAGTCTCAAGCAGATATCCCTTAGGTACTACTTTTGATATTCAGTGCAAACGAATGGACAATGTAAGCCATTTCTCTCTAAACGTGATCAGAAAACCGCCTGTTACTAGCAACTACAAATTAAAGACAGGAAAAAGCATTATATTATGAAGGGTCTATCGACCTCAACATGACGGTGAACCCATTACCATGAGTTATCTCCAAGAGAAGTCGGTGGAAGATTCCTATCTTTTCTGGAGGCTTGTGTTTGGATAATGTTCATAAGTTGGTTCAAACACTTGTCTTCGCCTAATTGGACGTAGATAAACAACATCAACAAGACCATTCTGGGTACATTCCGACAATGAGAATACTAAGACTGTTAGGTCAGTAGTTAGTGTGAACATACCGAAGAAGGATGGATCTGATTCATTGCCAGAGTAGATAACTAAGATGATGAGCAAAACACTTGAAGGAACAGTTCAACTGACCGTAGCTACTTTTCTGTTACCCGTCATAAACTTGGGTCCTGAATGGAACATTGAGTTAGGCCCTTTAGCACTTTCAAAAGTTGAAAAGTTAGTAAGTGAACTGAAAAAAAGCAGACAGGCCAGTACGGCACGTACTGAAGAACAGCGAATTGTTGGTTGAATTAGCTGGAGTGTTATCTACTCTACGAGAATCAGATATGGTTCCCTCTGACTGACCTCAATTAGTGTCAAAGAAAGGAAAGAAATCCTAGGGTAGTAGTCACAGGCAAATCAATCTGATGAACATGTTCAAGATCCTTGGTTCTATGGTCATTAGATGCCTAAATGAAGCTTGGGAAGAGCAGAAACCTGAGGAGACCAGAGAAGTTCCAGACTTGATCATGGTTAAATCAACTAGATATTCACTCTCCACGAGGTTCGGAAACAGACACACTTACCGTCACCTGACGCTAACTATATTTCCTGAACTGAAGACGGCACTCAACTGCGTTGACCGAGAGGTTCCGTGTTAGTGTCTCGCTGTGAGGGCTACTAGTTAGATACATCACTACCCGAATACCGGTTGACATGTTACGGCCTATGTTGAGGTATTAGGTGTGTTGTCTTAGTCAAGGGTATCCGGCCTCTTATTCAGTCTTGCCATAGACCTTTCAGTGGTCTCCCTGGTTTGACCGCAGGGATTCGAATTGTTACAGGACCCCTTAGTAGACCTAGAGCACGCAGATGATAGTCCTGATAGATGAAAATACTGACAAGGTTCAGTCTACTTGATACATTCAGTGGTAGTTTGAGAATCTTTGGAAAGCGTTTCTCACACATCAAATGCAAATCGCTGCATTAAGACGTATGCATTGACACTCTGCCTAACAGTCAGGGGTAAAATGATTTAGCATATTGACCAATTCACTTGCCTGAAAAGTTGGAGCAGTCCTGGTGGGTCATTGACAGGCTAAATCTCTGCATGGATATGAATGAGCTGGCTCGCTGTTTGCCAACTTACGTCACTTATGGCACCGGTGTGATATCCTATTGCATATCAATAGATGAATGTATTGCACTACAGTCCGCACTATTCTTCTTTTGTGCCTGTGAAATATCTTTATTAAAAGTAGGGGGGTGAGAAGACTTCAGGCATCTGACCACTGTTGTCTTAGTATAAACTGTCATGGTGCTACCAATTCATTAGTGTGAAGTCATGAAGTGTTTTAGGTAAAAGAGATAAGTCATTTGATGAGGCTGTGAACCTTCATCGATTCAGGTGACCGGGACATATATAGCGCATGTTCAGTCACCATCTGCCTTGCCGCATTATGCTAACTGAATTAGGACGAGGCAGGAAAACGGTTAAGGGTGGCCAGAATGAAACACTAAACCAGTCATTGAAGTCTTTCGCTGTCTGAGTCGTGTAGGTAAATATAGATCTGCTGATTAGGATCCAAGTGAAAACACAAAGTAGGTGATAGGATTCAGTATTGATCTCAGTAGCAAAGATGTATCCATACATTACGTTCATCTTCGTCGTCAAACTGAATTTCAGTATTCTGTCATTCTTCTTTGCGCTCCGCTGTTAACTTTCTACCACTTTAACTGCTTGCTTCATATTTCATCTTAGTGCATTCTCGCTTGATATGCTGATATGGGGTGTGGCAACTTGGACCACTAGGCAACAATTCCAGTTCGTATGTTGAAATTGACTTCGATTTAACTCTGTCCCCATCATTACCGGGAACATTGTTTAACATTATGTTTTTTTTGTTTACTGATCTTTTAGATCTGTAATATTTTTTGCAAATCTGGGTATGCATTGTGTAATTGTAGCAATTTAAACTGAGTTTTTATAAGAGGCTATAGATCTCAGCCAAAAGAAAAAATACCACTTTTGCGACAAAAAGCGCAACAAACTTGAATCAAAACTGGATGTGGTTAGCATAAGTAATTTCTGACAATATTCCCTCAACTTTTAATCAGTCTTCATTCAACCCTAGGCACTTGTGCAGGGATAGTACTACTCAACACCCAGGTATGTGTGTATAGGTTGTCAGTCAAACCTTTTGTTTAAGAGTTGATAAAACCTTATTCACCAAACCTCAAGAAGTTAAAGAGAATTAAAACGTTACACATATGTCGGGATTTAAGTGCTTAAATTAATAATAATAATAATAATAATAATAACAATAATAATAATAATGATAATAATCGCCTAAATCCAAACAATATGTATGACTGTGGAATTTTCAGCATGTAATTTTTCAATAAATTCACTCCCAGAACAATATTTTCAGACGGAATGGTTATTGCATCTGCATGAGGTTAATAATAACGGTATTTGAGGGAATAATATGAAATAGCCATCTGGTTTTGGATGGGCGTCCGGTCCATAATGAAGAATTAACAGAAATGCAGACAAATTTGGTGGTGGTGCATTCAGGTGTTACAAAAATCTGCAACTCAGATTGAACATCTGACGGACAGAAATATAATGTACTTTTGTGCACCGAAAAGCCCACTTCCATATAACGTGACATTTTTTCCCTGCTTCGTTATTGACTCGAGAATTGGAGAGTTGAAAACAGTTTAAGGCTATGTCAGTACATGATACGTTCAAAAGACATATTTAGATGATTAAAACAAATTGAAAGGAAAGGATTTGATGAAAAATGTTCAATGGATAAATTTGGTAGCCCGAGGTTCAAGCAGGCCGCCGAATTTAAGCCATAGTCTAACAAAGAATGTCATGGTAAACTAACTGGTTTTCCTACTCAAGTGGGATCGTAGTTCATTCGATCAACAATTAAGTGGCCGTTTGACACGTATTTTCAAATGGACTTTTCTAATGTAATCGTTGTTCTGTACTTTTCAGATATTCTCAACTACTTCAATTGATTTTACTTTTCATTTGTCGTCGTAGTTTTACCGCCAGTCCTTGTTCCTCGCCACAGTGAATATCCAAGTTTGAGTGCTGTGACTCCGTCACCGGGTTTGTCTCATTGTGGAAGCAGTGGGATGTCTAGTTCCCGTTCGGCATCTAATCTAGGGATGTTCTCAATGACAGATACAACAATGCCTTATAATGTGAATTATCCACACAACTTCAGTCACTCGCCGTCTATGCCTCCTGGAAACAGCGGAACCTCTGACAGTACGGTTGGCGGTTCTATACATTCCCCTAATAGTAAGTATGGTTATCCCGTACTAAATTTGTTTTCATGCCCGTACGTTTGTCTGACAAGTAAATTCAAAAGTTTTATATATGCTATAATATTTTCATATCTATCGTTAGGTAGTCTTGGTAACGTTCAAACAGTTTTACGTGAATCTAAATAACTGGTTTCCTTGTTGAGTTGTACGACTAACATTTGTTCAAGACTATTTCTGTGAAATAAGTTGATGGAATGTGGGGAATTCTTTGCTTTTTTTTATTTCGACGGTTTCGTGGAATTTAAATTTGTTTCAAGGTGAATATTCGGTGGTTACAAGATGACACTAAAAACAGAACACTCTCCTCTACCCCACGACATACCAACACCAGCGATGTGGGTTCGTAGTTAGATTCAGGACTAAAAAACCTAGATCTCAAACTTCTAAAAAACCACCTGTGACCGGCCTCATGCAGATGTCTCTCTGGCTCTCCGGTCATGCACTCAACCCTTCACGGGCACTTCAAGAACTAACCTTCCACCGTGTTGTGTCAACCTTCACACTTCCGGTAGTATACAAGACCCAATCAGCCATAACTTACTCTCCTTACCTCTGTTTCCTGCTTTGCTTGTACTTCCTGATACCAATATTGAACCCCTTACAATTTCCTTAACATCTCACTGTGTCCACTGCCAACGATCTATCGAAGCACCATTTATAGTCCCCAAAGACCCCGCTGTCAGTTTAGCATTGAATCTTTCAACGTCCGTGCCCTATGCCAAATAGGATAGCAGGCGTCTCTTGCTAGAACTCAAGAATATTGAGCCATGAATGGATGTTTTGTTTCTGAGACACGTATACAGGACCTGAGTGTGGCAATTCATTTTGGCGGTATCCTGAAATGCAGTGACTAGCTGTCGTAATCGCACTAGTTCAGGCATAGCCTTAAGTTTAAGAGCAAAAATACACTTCTTGACTGGACACCAGTCAGCAGCCGTCTGTCTGCCCTCTGACAATGCATCTGCAAAAACTAGAAAGGATCGTGATACCAACCGATCCCCATTCGTAATCTCCGCCTACACACCAACCGACTGCAAGTTGGACGATGCAAAGAGTGAGTTCTTTCAAAAGCTGTCAGTTTTGCTATAGAGAACAAAACATTCAGATATAGTCACAATAGCGGGTAGCCTTAATGCCCAAGTGAGGAAACTGAGCCAGTTGAAAAGAAATCTTGGCGGTATTTAGTGGAATCCCAGGCCGATAAACCAAAAACGGTGACCACCTGCTACAATTTTGTTTTGACAATCACTTGTTTCTGACCGGCACTAACTTCAAGCATAAGGAGAAGTACTGTCTCACATGACGTTCGCTGAAATTAGAAGAACGACGGATCCAGATAGGTCATGTTGCTATAAGCCATTGTTGGAGAGGATCGGTGAAGGATTTCTTTCTGGAGCACCAGTTTGGACTCCGGTCGTGCGCTAGTACGGTCTCGTGTATGTCTGCGCCTTACAAGTTACAAAACGCAGGTGGTAGTGAAATCTATATATGCTCGATTGGAAGATGAGAACGTCAAGTACGCATTTGGGGAGGAGATAGGTAGCCATTTATCTGAACTCGACTGCTGTGCTGATCCTGAGGATGTTTGGCGTCATATTATCTGTTGTAGAAAATATGATAAAGATAGAAGGTAACCTAGACCTGAACGTTAGCAAACGTCATTGAATTTCCGCAATGTCATCCAAAGTGATTGATGCGAGAATACTGATTCCAAATGTCTCTGACCACAGTGAAAAACGAGAGCAACTAAAACGTAAGTAAGCTAAGAGTCTTCTTAATGACCACGAGGATTGGTGGTGGGTGGTGAAAGCGAGAGAGAGATGAAAGCATCATCGTTATGTAAAGCTAGCAACTATTTAGGCTTACTATGGATACCGGCAAGAAGACGATGGTTAATGAAACCATCACTGAAAAGAATGGTACCCTAATAACTTCTCATGACAGGCGACTGGAACGCTGGACAGAACGCTTTGAAGCACACTTCAACTGGCCCACACCAATGCTTTAGTTGCCCAATATCCAGTCTGAACATATACGGCACGTACATGTCGATCCTCCTACTTTGTTTGAAGTTGAGAAGGCTGTATCGAGCTTGAAACGATGCTAAGTGCCAAGACCTGGTAGTTTACCACCCTGAGTCTTCAAGGATGGAGGTAGGAAACTACTGATTAGAGTCGCGGACGCACCAAGTGGTGTAGGGGAATCAGAATTAGTGCTGTCATACTAGTCTGCTTCACCGGTCATTTCAGTCTTTACGAAAAGAGAGAAGTCGAGATAACCATAGTGGGTCCACAGTTATGCGATGACTGACTGGATCTGGAGAACAGCAAACTCGATGGAACCAGCCGGGTTTCAGGCCTTGACGAAGGTGCATCTGTCAGATTTTAACTCCTTACCAGGTTCTAGAACGCAACCTTCCGCGGTATGGGTAGTCGGAAAGTGTCAGCCGCCCTCACAACTCGATCAACATTCAAGTTTCCTCAGACTGCTACCCACCTCCCCCATCATTACCTTCTAGTCCTCCGCTGTGGCAAATCGAACCGTTACGTAGTAATCCCTGGTCCTATGTTGATGTTGATGATGATGATGACGCAGGCATACTTGCCGGTGGCCAACACTTGCTAAATGTGTTGACCGTGAGGTGTCGTGTTGATGTTTGACTGTGAGGGAAGTATGGAGCAAGTATTTGATACCAATCAAAGCTCTCCACTCCAATTCATGGAGCTGTATTAGGGCATGTGGAGAGTTGCCATCACAACTGACAACAACTAGTAGTGTCAGCTAGGGATCCTCGCTGTCACCGTTCCTACCTAACTTCGTTATAAATGTACTAATGGAAATGACCTTACGTACGTCTGACTTCACAAGGGTTGATCTACTCCCTGGAGGTCATTTCGTTGACTTGAAGTACGCAGGTGACATCTTCCTACTAGGGGAAAACACGGACAAGATGCTGAGGAGAAATCTGAGCATGTTTGACATGCGTTTCGCGCCTGTCAAATGTAAGCTGATGCTCCACAACTGGTTTGTTTTTACTGTCGGCGTAGAGATAGGGAGTAAGGTGGTGGAATGTGCCAACCACCTCACTTGCTTGCGGGATAAGCATCAACCCAAATGAACTGGTCGCTAACGAAATCTCACCTTGGATACCAAAGGCTCGTTTGGGATTTTCTAATTTACGTCATCTGTGGTACTTAATCACTGACGAGTAAGCTGCGCTGTGGTCCGTTCTGTTCAGTTATACGGCTGTGAGACATGCCTGTTAAAAGTCATCATCATCATCAATATCAACATAGGACCAAGCATTACTGCGTAACGGTCCGACTTGCCACACCTCACGTCAGCTGATTAAGTAGAAAGGTAGTGAGGTGAAGGATGAAGATCAGAAAATTCAGTCAGAAGAAATATAAAGTACGAGAAGAGAGAAAGGAAGAATGAGAAAGTGGTGAGATTCGGTATAGCGTCGTTAAGATGAGGATAGTGTGTGAATACATCTGCGCCACTGACATCGGTTCTGAGCCATATCACCTAGAGTCTCCAACCACTGGTTCCTCTTGTCCCGTGGACCCCAACCACCTATTCTGCGTCGCCCCACGTGGCTCAGAAGAGCAGTTAAGGACTTCATGCACTGATGCCATGTTTTAGTCTGGCCACCTCAGGCCTTTTACCGACCTGGACCCACCTCAGCCAACATTGTGTGACGAGGCGATCGGTGACTAGGCATACGTAATACGTGTCCCAACCATCTCAGTCGATGAAGGTTCATAACCTCGTCAACTGACTTACCTCTTCTCCCTAAAACTCTATACCTGACATCTGCATTACTCACGTGGTGACACCAGGGAATGCGTCCTATACTACGAAGGCAACGGTGGTCAAACACCTGAAGCCTTTTTATATCCTCCACTTTCAATGGCCATGGTTCACAACCATACAGTAGAACAGAGCGGACTGCTGTGCAGTACACGCGACCCTTAATAGACAAACGGACATCACGGCGGCACCACAGGTGGCGCAAATTGGCAAAAGCCAATCGAGCCTTTTATATCCGTGCAGAAATCTCATCGGCAACTAACCCACCAGGGTTGATCCTACTTCCCAGGTAAGTGAAGTGGTCAACACACTCAACCACTTCACTCTCTATTGTTAGCCACGGTGGGGCACCGCTGAAGACCAGTCCTGGAGCAAACATTTGCATTTGGGTGGTGAAAATCGCATCCCAAACATTCAAATTCCCACTCAAAGTGTTCAGAAGACTCTGCATCTTGTCAGCGTCTTCACCTAACAGGACTATGTCATCTGCATATTCTAGATCTAAAGAAAATTCACCTGTGATTGGGTCAACGTCTGTGTAATTAGGTGACGAGAGGGAGACCTCCATAAGAATATCTGTGATGAAATTGAATAAGAATGGAGATAGTGGGCATCCTTGATGGATACCACTCGATGAGCATAGCTCCCTGGACATCTCACCATAGACTCTAACACGCCTATAAGTGTTCGAGCAGAGAGCCTTCAATAAGTTGATGTACTTGCTCGGCACGCCCTTCAGTGAGAGACATTGCCTTCGCTGCCCACCACTGTTTGCGGTCGTTGTGTAGACTTTTTCTCAATCTACTTTTAAGTTGCGCTCGCTCTTCATTGTACTCAGAGCCTACAGGGAGGCGTTCACGTGCATCCATTAGTTCGAAAGAAGCTGCTGATATCCATTAGCTCTATCTAGCCACTATTTTGGAGTCGGCTACGGTCTTCAACGGTGCTTTTACAGCAGACTAAAGCTGGCACCAAGCTTCTTGTGGATGAGTGACAGTCTTTTGTTCCGATAACCGCCTAGCCAACTTCTGACTGAACACGGCTTTGGTGTTCTCGTTTTCCAGTAGTACTCGTAGTGGTTTTTTTGCCAAATTTTTCCTACGTCCATTGAGACGTAGGCATATAGGCGCTCGGACGAAGGCGTGATCGCTGTTCCAATACGTAGTCCAGGAGGAGCGGCAGTCTTCCACCGATCCTCTCCAGCAATGACTAATAGCAATGTGGTCTATGAGTGCCCATCGGTGAGTTGAGCTGGGTGGACGCCAGGTCAGACAGTGTCTTTCTTTATGTCTGAAATTTGTGCTGTCTAAAAATAGGCGGTTATCTGAGCATAGTTGTCGTAGGCGATCACCGTTGTATGTTCATTGGGCCGGGATTCTGAAAGTGCCACCTAATTGCCTTTCTGCCTCAGTCAGTCTACCCACCTGTGCATTGAAGCCACCTGCAACAACCACCACGTCCGGTCGTTTGGCTTTGGAGAGGAGGTTAGAGAGTTTACGTTAGAACTCGTCCTTCACTTCATGTGAACTGCAGTCAGTGGGTGCGTAAACAGAGATTACAAAGAGACAATGGTGAGTCTCCCTATTCCTTTTGGTTCTCACTATGCTATTCAGTCGGATAGCGCAGAGGCAACTATCGACTGGGATCCAGTGTAGTAGTGAGTTTTCTGCCCTAGTACTTAATGCTATGTCTACACCTGCAATATCCCGAGAGCTAGCTAACGAATCTCCAGAAACTCGAAGGGTGAATTTTGCAGATTCACCAGATTGGTCAGGAGAGATCAGGTGAATAACCACACTTGGGTCCTGTATGCGTGTCTCACAAACACAGCACACATCGATGCTAGAGTCTTTGCTAACGAAGCCTGTTGACCAATTTGACGGAGGGTGAAAACATTGAAGGCTCGAATATGTAATTTGGAGCGTGGTTTAAGGGGACCAGTGATGCTGTTCTGTGGACTCAAATCGTTGTCTAAGGCTGTAGAGGTAGGAGAAATTGAAGATGATGCAGCATCGTTAATTGAGAGACGTGAAGGAAGATTAGAAGGTAATGATGGAGGAGGTGGATGGTAGTCTGAGGAAACTTGAGTGCTGATTGAGTTGTGAGGGCGGTTGACACTTCCCGGCTGACCGCACCGTGGAAGGCTGTTTTTTCTTAAGGTACCTGAAAGATTTGTGTGACCGCAGAGCCCATGGGACATCTGCTTGAGACCTGTCACACGAAGCCTTTTGAGTATGATTATTTTGAACTTTTGTATTTTTGGGGCCGTATGGTCGAAAGGAAACGGCAAATGAACCAACACCGCCGGCCCGGCGGACCGTGGGGTATAGTGGAGTGTATTTTGGGGGCTGACCTTTTCTAATTCCCTTCCCTTCCACTGAGAAGGCAGCATCAGCATGGCACTGCTGGTCATCCAAGAGAAAACACTTTACTGCTGTCACACGCCATCCAGCTAGCAGCAGTACGACTTCGCCCTCAGACCCCCATCATAGTGTAGCAATTTACACTATAACGGTAACTGCTTTTCATCTAACCACTATCCAACAGACCTTTCTGGTATGGTAGGACCTCGAGGGAACAAGCGTTCCACCAGCATAGCTCGTTGGGTCATTGTGATATGCAAGCCCGACCACCACGTCAATGTATCAGCTATCGGTCGGGCCCGTTAAAAGTAGAGGTTATGAAACAGTTGTTGGTGTTCGACCGCACTTGTCTCAATATCGTTGCTCCTGTACGATTGAATCGCTATGTGAGCAATTTAGAGGTTAAGGGAAGGGTATATATATGTATCTTCAACCGTTGTTACGACAAAGAAAGAGGTTGTGTATCCTTTTCTTGAACATAGTGATTGTTTTTAAATTGTGAATTGTTAATACTTCAGTTGTGCTTAGACGTCATAACCTTACTCGTTTGATAAGGCTTGGTCGAACTCAGTGAAAAAATTGGAGGGATAGATGGAAAAGGACCAAGTGTTGTGTTACGGCGCTGAGGATCCATTTCAGTTCTCTCTTTGTTTGGTAGGTTAGATGGCTTTCTCTCGTTTCTTACAGACAGATGGGTGTAGCCTGAAGTGTCATATATATGTTTGGTTTTGCGGTCATCCACTGGTATCCACTCGAGAAGTACACTTCTCGCTCTAATATTTTGTGTAGTATCTACGCGAGAAAGTCCACGAGTACCTGCAATGTAATGTCCGAGATATCTCTAAGTGAATTTTGCCGGTTTATTACATTGACCAGGTTAGTTCATATGAATAACTACACTCGGATACTGTATGCGTGTCTCAGTAACATCCGTGACCAGAGATTCAAGAGTTTCCACCCTTAAGGCCTAGGTCCTAACAACTGGGTAGTATTGTTAATATTCACAGTAAGTGTAATTTGTTTCCTGCCGTATGAACCTACGCACACTTTCTGACTTCCCTTTTTCATTGGTTAATTAACGACTAGTCTTGCTATTACTGAAATCAGAAAACAGATGAGTTTGAATCGCATATAGCATTGTTTGTTGCCATTGTTGTTGTTGAACCTTCTTTGATAACCTAACTGATTTGAAGGTGATCTCATTAACCCTATTCCTACTCATAACGTTCGTACTACCTTTTTTGGCTTTTATATTCAGTCATAGATTCATCATCAAAAAGAGTGATTTTGTTCACCATTCATTCTTATCCTATTACTAAACATGATTCTCTTCTACCACTCTCCTTGTTTACTGTTACGGATGCCTATACCCCATATATTCCATACTTACAATCTGTACATATTTGAAGTGTTTTCTCTGCACTCTTTTTCCCGCACATGAATCACGCTTCATATAACCCGCTAGCGTTTTGATTGGCTCCTAGCTCTTTCAATTTACTAATTATTCCTTATCTTTCAAGGTTACTGTAAACTCAATAAATAGGCTACGTTTTCTCTAACACACGTTTTCACTCAGAGATGCTATGAACTCACCTGATTTACCAGTCCTTTAATTTCCATCTGCGAATCACTTCATTTGAACTGTCTTAACTCTGGACTATCAATCGTTAGTTATTATCTTTTCGTTCTCACAACTCCACATCATAACATTTGCACTTGTCAACCAAGATTCTTTATTCTTCATTTAGTCAATTTCTTTTCCATGATCTACTTTTAGCTATCAAATGGATTTATGCAAATTTGTTTCATGAGCAGCACTTGAGTATGATCGAAGATGTAATAGTAAAGGCTATCTGAATCAATTAAAAACTTCGAAATGAGAAGTAGTTTGTAAGCATCAATGAAACAACTAACAAACAGGTGTTTGTTGTCATTTTTCTCCTCGTTATTTCCTATAAATTAGAATCAGTTGAATAGCCACTGGATATACAGATCCTGTAGATGAGTCTTAGAACAGTTTCTTTTGAAGTATTAGTTCTAATTTCCCAGGGTCGGTTAATGTATGTAATATAACCATCATTCTGTTTTGATGTGCAGCCAACCTCGCTTGGTTGACTTCTCGAACCATAAGTTTTTATGGAAAGTTCAAACAAACATCTCTCTCTCTCTCTCTCTCTCTCTCTCTCTCTCTCTCTCAAACAAGGCGTTAATTAGCAGTGGATTTTTACTCCAGTGAGTTTTTAGACTTGATTACTTTGAAAGGTTTCTGTTGTTTAGTGACAAGTTTTTTTTCACTTTTCTGAATCTTCGCTTTAATACATGACAATATTCCACCTAGGAGTATTTTTTATTTTGTATTAAACTAACAGATTCAAATCTCCAGTCCGGTTACCAAACTCATCCCAATCAGGACCCAGCCTCCTCTGGACAAAGTGAGTTATGCTCAAGCTTGATTTGTCAAGATTAAGAATTTTATGTTTATAGATTTGCAACAATTGTGTGGATAATTTTTAGTGCCCGAAAAGAAAGAGGGCATATACTGTGCATGCAGGGCCACCGCCTGCCTCAACGTGCCTTGCTAGGGGAAGTTGGATTCTGTTGGAAGAGAGCTCAGCGTGACCAGACCAACACTTGGCACTAGTCGATGAAGTCCCTGAATTCTGACTTGAGTCGTGTGGCGATGTAGATTGCCTGGTTGAGATCCCCGAAATGAGAGGAATCAGTGATTGAGGACACTTGGTAATATCGCTGAAAATCAGTCACAATGGCACAGTTGTATTCACTCTTTGACCTCTTTTAAGACTTAAATACTTGCACTGACCGTTATCTCCAAATTGTTTACTGTCTCACACAATTTTGCCTACTTTGGTATCACTCTATCTACTTTTTCTTTGCATACTACTTTGAAGTGTAGCAACTTAAACTGATACACTTCTGTGCAAGGTTCTACGTTGATACTATCTATCTGTCTGTCTTCAACAGACAGGAATATCGGTCTTCGTACGGTGAAAGTCAATGTTATTTACTTGATCTTTGGCATCATATGAAGCTTTACAGACTGAGGTGGCTATATTTTGTTGCACATGCTGACTCATAATCTTCATCAATGCGCTCTATTATGTCAATTAAACTCAAGCCAGAAAAATTTTAAGGGCAATGAGGTGAAAAAGTGGCACCAACTATCGAAATGTGTAACTGTTGGTTGGGACCTCCCCAAAATCAATGGTTAGACCCTAGGTGACGTGGTTCAGAATCGTACCCAATAGTACTAATGCACAAACCGTATCCTCTTCCCAACCTTCATTATTTACACTTCGACATTTACTTCACTCTTTAGGTGATATGGTTGGTGGTGTAGATAGTATGTTGTTATTGTTCACCCTATTTTCCTCTTTTTTTGCCTTTCCACCCTTCCTGTTTACTTTTCTCTATTTCTGTGTCTTTCATCTTGTTTTGCTGATGTGAGTTCTGCTAACTTGTACAATTACGCAGTAATGCTGTTAGAAACAGGCGCGCCTTGCAGGCATAGGGGTAGGCCGCATAAACCATATGATACGATAGTCTCAAGATGATAATAACAACTAAGAGTTAATATACTACTTGATTCATCTATAGATTTGTGTACCTCATGGTGTCCATCACCGCACAACAAACCAAGAAAAAGACTGCTATATCCTCACTGAGAATGAGATGCGCTTTCGTATTTCCAAGTTTTCCAAGAGCCATGTAAAATCGTAAACTTTTTTTCACTTTGGAGGATTATGGGGATTCTATTGATTTCAGGTTGGCATTCATCAGTAAAATCCCTACAAACTTCTAATTTGAATTACTGCCCATTCCTCGTTAGTAACTCACTTCAAAATGAGACTTCTCGAACTCTTAATGAGAAGTCATCATCGGTGGGTCAAACCTAGTTAGATGTGAGGACGAATACTCAACGATGACATTGGGTGAAGATCGTGCAATAGCACTAACTGACAGAAGTAGGAGATGTAGAACACTATATTCTGGTCCAATGGCAACGTACTGGCTATAGAACCTGTAAGTTCTGAGTTCGACCTCTGGCGAGGCCCTGAGTTTGCACTGCTGAGTCTCATAGTAGGATGAAAAAGCTGTCCAAATACGGCCAGGTTTCCAATGTTTTTCTATTTGATATCAGTCGATGATGAATTCCAATTTGAAAACTTTTTCACTAGGTTCGTTGCTGATTTGCTACTACAGCAAGCTACGGGTTAGCTACAACTCAGTGAGTGGTTGATATACTCATTCGAACCCATGGCAACAGAATTGTCAATTCGCTTTCACACAGCCAATGTAACTTAGTTTTGCTCACTAACCTACACTTGAGACTATGAAATGAGAGTAGTATGAAACATGTGGCTCAGTGGTTTAGGGAGATTATTATCAACCATTAGATCACGGGTTCGAATCTCACTGTACCTACTGAGGTTTGAGCAACGAGGTAATATCATTAGCCCTCGCACAATAGGTGTGGTTTGTTACCTACTACACAGATGTTCACAAGTTTTCTGAGTGTGTTTCAGTTGACTGTGAAACATAAGTTGTGGTGTGTCGGATAATGACTACAACACTGATGAGACTTGACATCAGTAGTCGGACCTCGTAGCTCAGTTGGTAGAGCACCAGGTTGGTAACCCCAACGGTCGTTAGTTCGAATCCAGCCGTGGTCCAAATTTTCATTTCACCTTCAATCATCACCCAGTACAATTATTTAGTTTCCCTGTTAAATCGAATATAGTCATTTGTACTCTCGTTTTTATGATATCCACCTTTGAATTTCATATTTTGCACTTGTTTAGACTAGGAACAGGAAGTGTTTTATTATACCTTATTGCGGTATAACAACTGTCTACTGATTGCACCTATTCAGTTACCTTTTCTATTGATATATGCGATTAATTATTATTAAAACACAAACATGGTACAACAAAGGGCACCAAGAAATGTGCCATACAATAAGAATTGAATGTTCAGAAGGGGGGGGGAGTCTCGTAAGAAGCCGTTAGGAAGACATGCGTTACATATATTCAAGCCACCGAAGCCGATATTTCTAGATGACGTCATTTATTGAATAACGATCTCCATCACACTGTCGTACCTCAAAAGTATTTACATGGTGTTGTCACTGCATACGATCAATCTTACGGAGACAACAATGATGAAACATAGAGACTCGTTGCATATCCTCAGCTCGGAGAGGCCAGGTTTCACTGGCGTAGAGTAAAACTGCTGACACGGAAGTATTGTAAACCCTACCTTTCACGGTCAGACTAACGTGACGGTGCCAAAGGTGGCTTTCTATATGCAGTTGGAAATTTCACCACTCACACAAAACACGAACTTTTCGATTATTTTCAACGGCTCACCACTAAAGGTGACCGTAGGCATAGGCGTCCTCCTAATCTTGCAAAAGTATTTTTCGCTTCGATGTTGCAAAGTACATACCTTACTTACGGAAACTAAGTGCGATAAAATGATTGACTGGGAAGATTATGCAAACACTTCCTTGATTTTTCCTTTTTATTATTACCTTTATTGTTATCTTGGAATTTACATACCTGAACATGAATCTCACTAACTATATAATGGTTTTCAATGTCCAGGTTGATTAGTTCCTATATACTACTGTGTAAAACCTAGTCGGAAATTATTGAAAGTATACTTTTAAATACTCAATTTTAAATGTCGTGATAAAGTTATGGTTGAAGTTGACGGGAAACCCCAGTTCAGACTCCAACCAGTGACTCTAGATTGCCATTTGGATACTGTACCCAGTAAGCGACAAGATTAGATGCGAAATTCACTTCTGCAACTGATGGTGTACGATTAAACAGCCAGCATAGTGATGAAGAGAAAGTTAAATATCACTCATTTATATAATAGTCAGGAGAAACTCAATGGTTAATACCGAAGTCTCATAACTCAACCGGCTAGGCATTTTGTTCCTTATATCTAACTGACCGATAATCAATAATAAAAGTTTGTAGTCATGGGGATCTTTACATAATAATCATAATAACAATTCACTTTATTTCAAACAATTTGTGGTACAATTTGGAATTCTCAACACCATATATCGCAACAGTAACAAAATATGTGTATGTTTATGCTCCTTCCTTTACAATATTTCAAGTTGTGTTATCATGAAAATTTAGGTAGAGTAAAGAATATTGAAAAAAGAGAACATTTTTCATTGTTAATTAAATTATTGAAATGAGATTGTTAACTGGTACAAAGTTGATATGTGAGTTCTGTTCTAACACTTTTCTCCTCACAAAATATGCATGCTAAGTAAGGTAGAGTCGATTTCTTCTACTTAGCTGTACTAGTGTACAGTCTGATGTAATTCCTTCTTATTCTCCCTGAGGAGAGAGCTGTAATTGATGGAGTGGATGGTCAGTGTCAGTTAGAATTACTATAACTAGTTGCTCGCTAGAATTTAATTTGAGACCATTGGTCAAGAGTTCTTACACGATACACACTTCTGGTTGCAAATAGTATTCAGGCGTTGTATTTCAGACTCAATTAGGCAGTTAAACCTTTTTACATCAGGGTGATCTCTCGCCCTATACAACCTTTCCTTTTCTCTCCGGGGCCTCTTGAGATGAGAGGAAAGTCTGTCGAATCTCGTGTAGATGGTTTCAGCAGATATCGAGACAGAATATGAGATAGCTTGTGATAGTGTTGTGTACAATTTCATCAACAAATATATCTCAATCTGTTTCTATAAGCATGCTTCTCAAACGTAATATATTTTCTTGTGAGTTCAGTCTGTACTGGCCTTTTTTGGAAAGGTATCTGAAAGCTTTCTTGTATAATTTACCGTACACTTTAGGCAAAACACAAACAATACAGTGGTCAGAGTTTAGCAGCGGAGCCCGTTTACGGGCTTCATATATCCCAGGTTCATTTTTAAATACTAAGTCTAGGGTGTTGTCAAGACGAGTCGAAAAGTTAACCATATTTCTATGACCCAATGATAATAGAAAACTGCATTCACATGAGTTAAAATCTCCACAGACTGTAGACAAGGAGCTACCCAGAACCGGAGCAGCCAAATCAATGATTTCATCAGTAAAAGTTGACAAATCTGAGAAACTGCAGTCAGGTGTAAAATAAATGTTTATTATCTAATGTATGTTTGTATTTGCTCAAATGTTTGAGACGACATTTAATGGTAAGGCACTCAATTTTTTCGTTAGAGAAGCATGCATAGTTGGGGAACGACCAGTTTTCATTGATAAATTTTGCTACATCACTACCACATTTCTGCTTGGAAAAGCTTGGATCTTGTCGAAATAATGTGAAACCATTTTAGCAGACTAAATCATCATTATACAGGTTATGAAGCTATGTTTTCTGTAGCATTATTGCACCCGTGTTTTGATAAACATTTGTAGACAAGAGTTACTGAAGGTAATCAACTTTCTTCGGTAATGATCTGATGTTTGTGCTAAGTATTTCCGGAATAGCCATTTGATCTGTGATCATAAGCTTGAGAGCCCATTGCCATCGACTGTGATTTGCCTATCAACTTGTGAAGCGATAGGTTGTAATGATTTTAAAAACCCGCTAGAGTGTATAATATGATTGACTGATATAATTGAACGATTAAAACAACATAGGAAAAAGAAATTTGATGCAATATATATTCTGTCATAAAATAAGGTAGCCCAGAGTTCAAGCAGGCCGCCTAATAACTGAATAATCCAAACTGACTTACATTTTTGCTCAGTTTGATATGTACAAACTATATGAAGTATTTTGATATGGATATGTGTATGCAAATTTTCAATCAGGTAACCTACTCATCTGTTTTTCGTTCAATTCTTCTAGCTATGCATCCAGTCAATTATCAAGAGCCAAAATACTGGTGTTCAATTGTTTATTATGAATTAAATAATCGTGTGGGTGAAGCATTCAATGCTTCACAGTTAAGCATTATTATTGATGGTTTCACAGATCCATCAAATAATTCCGATCGTTTCTGTCTTGGTCTTTTGTCCAATGTTAATCGAAACTCAACAATTGAAAATACAAGACGTCATATTGGAAAAGGTAATATTTAGCTTTCTCCTCTATTCAACAATTAGTCTTCATTGTTACATTAAGGTCATGATATAAGTTGACTGTAATTGTATTCTTATACTTTTAATATCTAGTCGCTCTGATAGCGTGAAATGGCATTCATTATGCCAAGACTGGTTAAATCATTGAAGCAGTCGGGCATTACCAACTCAGATATATTTTGTTCTGTTTGCTTCCATCTGAACCACTCTTAAACTGTAATAAAATCAAACGTAATAGAGGATATTTACATGTTGGTTTAGTACATTTATAGGTAGATGTTGAAGAGTTCCAGGTATTTGGTTGGAAATTCATCATCATTATCTATCAGCATAGGACCAGGTATTACTGCGTAACGGTCCGACTTGCCACATCTTATGTCAGTGCATCAAGTAAAAAGGCAGTGAAGTGGAAGATGAAGCAAAGAGAATTAGGTCAAAAGAAATATAAAGTACGAAAAGAGAGAAAGGAAGAATGAGAAAATGGTGAGATTCGGTATAGCGTTGTTAAGATGAGGATAATGTGTGAATACATCTGCGCCACTGACATCGGTTCTGAGTCATATCACCTAGAGCCTCCAGTCAATGGTTCCTCTTGTCCCGCGGACTCCAATCGGCTAATCTGCATCATCCTACATGGCTCAAACGAACAGTCAAGGACTTCATGCATTGATGTCATGTTTTGGTCTGGGGGCCGTGAGCCTTTTTTCAGTCTAAACTTCAACCGTCATAGTGCGACAAGGCAGGTGGTGGTTAGCCATACGTAACATATGTCCTAGCCATCTCAGTCGATGAAGGTTCATAACCACGTCAACTGTCTCACCTCTCCCCCCCCCGCAGACGCAGCCAGCCTACTTGACACAAGGTGAAGAAGAGGAGCAGATGTAGGCTCACACCACTCACCATCTAGTGCAAGGAACCTTCCTGCAAAATCAAGTTAAAAGCCTTCAAAGAAGTTGGTGACAGACCACAGTTCAAGTACAACACTCGGAAACTGAAGGATGAAACTTCAAAGGAAATCTTCATGGCAGCCAGTCATCAAGACAAAATGGGAGATATCGAGGAACATCCCTGAAGAAACCTGTGTGGAAGAACACTGTAAGTCTTTGAAAGCTATGTGGAAAGAAACCTGCATAGCCGTATTAAGAAGGAAGAAGAAAGAAGATAAGGAATGGATCTCCATAGATACATGGAAGCTGATAGTGGAGGGAGAGGAAGATGTTGATGGTGAAGCAGAAGATAAACCAGCGCATGGATGCTCAACGACAAGAGGAACTGAGTACAATGTATAAAACACTGGACAAAGAAGTGAAGAAGAGTGGGTGGAAAGACAAAAGACACTTCTACGAAACACTGGCAAGTGAAGCAGAACAGGCTGCAGGTAGGAGAGATAGAGACCTGACAACATTGTATCAAATAACCAGGTTACTATCTGGGAAGAGATCAATACAGACGAAACCAATAAAAGATGATGAAGGAAATTTAATCACGAAAGAAGAGAAATAAAGGAGACGATGAGCCGACCACTTCAGGAAGCTCTTGAATCGACCACCACCACCACCTGCACTTCGTCCAGAAATACCACCTACAGCCCAGTCGCTGAACTACAAGTGAACATAAATCCTCCAACAAAGTGGAAGTCCTGAACGCCATAAAGCTACTGAAATGCGGGAAAGCAGCACGACCAGACAGGATCGCACCAGAAGCACTGAGAACAGATGCAGAGACAACATTAGACATGCTCATACCACTATTGCAGAAGGTGTGGAAGGAAGAGAAGGTACCTGCCCATTGATTGGAAGAAGGGCTTCCTTGTCAAATTGCCGAAGAAAGGAGACCTCAGTGTTTGCAAGAAGTGGGGCGGAATCACTCTCCTATCCACCCAGAGCAGGCAAAATATTAAGCCGCATCATCCTGGAGAAGCTACAGGATGCACTGGATTCAAAACTACGACCTGAACAGGCAGGCTGGCTTCAGGAAGTACAAATCATGTGCAGACTGAATTGCAACGCTTCGCATCATCATAGAACAGAGTATAGAATGGCAATCAGCTCTCTACCTCAACTTTATCGACTTCGAGAAGGCCTTTGACAGCATCGACCGAGAAGTAATTTGGAAGCTGCTTCACTACTACGGAGTACCGCAAACTTTTATCAGCCTCACTCAACAACTATATGAAGACACATGCAACATGACAAGTAATTCACAATGGGAAGCTCAGCTCATTGATGCTTTTGAAGTGAAGTGGAGACAGGAGTGAAACAAGGTTGTCTACTATCCCCCATGATATTCCTGATTGTGATCGACTGGACTGGATCATGCAGCAAACAGTGGGTAGCGAGAAGAGGGGGATATGCTGGTTGGACTGTGGAAAAGAACCTAGAAGACTTGGATTTCACCGTCGATGACTTGTGCCTGATGTCACAGAAACTTGAAGATCTACAGGCGAAAACTAACAAGCTGACTGAAGAGGCAGCGAAGACGGGACTTCAAGTGAATATAGAGAAGACAGAGGTGGTGAAGATACTGCACCACCAACAACAACAAACTCCAATCACCATGAACGGGAGAAACCTAAAGAAAGTAGCCTCCTTTACCTATCTAGGCAGCACTGTTTCAACTACAGGCGGTGGCGGCACAGACGAGGATGTCAAAGTCAGAATCGGAAAAGCAAGACCTGAAACCAGTGTGGAGATGTTCTGCACTCAGCATGTGGAACAATATCCGGATTTTCAACACCAACGTCAAGTCAGTGCTTCCATGTGATGAATCAGAGAATTGGCGCGTTACGAAAGGCATTTCCAATAAACTACAGACATTCATCAACAACTGCCTACGCTGGCTCGCTACTGAAGATCATATGGCCAGAAAGAATAAGCAACAAGGTGCTCTGGGAACGAACCAACCAAGAACCTATCACCCAGCAAATATGCAGAAGAAAGTGGAAGTGGAGATGGATTGGGCATGCATTGAGAAGGCCGACTGGGGACATCACGCGTCAGGCCAGTTGCTCGAGTGGAATCCCCATGGGAAGCGACGAGTTGGATGTCCGAGGTAAGGGTGACATGGAGGAGGTCGTGCGAGGAAAAAATGAGAGCTTCTGGGCTGTCGTGGAGCCAGGTTGAAAAGATTTCAGAGAACAGAGTTCACTGAAGACGTGCTAGTGAAGCCCTATGTTCCACTAGGAACCCAAGGGACTAATAATAATAATAATAAATACCACCTCATATTCATTGGCAGTTAAATTCTCCATATCTTTAGTAAAGGCGTTGAATCATTCCTATTACATGTGTTGGGTGTTGATTCGATGAACAAAAATTCAGTAATCAATTTCTCCCTCTCTCTCTACCTAATTATATTGGACTTAAGTACAATGGTTTTATCCCACCCATCCTATTGTGTCGTTGTGTGTTAATGCATGCAATGCAGTATTCGAGTATTTTTCTAGATTATTGATCTTATTTGGGTCTGTCATTCTATATTTGGTTTTAATTCCCGATCACTTAGTTTGATTTATGTATGCTTGATCTCACAGTCACTTCATGAAATTTGATAGATCAAATCCTTTTGTCTATTTGGATCTATTGGACCCGTTAGCAAAATACGATATGACCATGAGCAATAATTTATGCTCGAGTCATCACCAAGTAGATAATACTGGAATTTTTCAAGTTGGTATTGATCATTGACTGACATCAGTTGAAGGAACATTGGAAACCTGGAAGCACTGGACAGCCAGGTGTTTCGTCCTGGTATGCGAATCCTCAGCAGTGGGCATCTATAACCCCGCCCCCTACTTAAGGATATAACCTAGGACCTTCAGGTTCCGTGGCTACTACGTTACCATTGAGCCAAGGTGTCGGAATCCAGTGGTCCATATTTCCAACTTCTGTCAGTTCACAATATAGCGTGACCACCACCCCATGTCATCGTTGAGTATTTGTCCTCACAGCCACCATGTTTGTCCCACACGTTACTTCTCATTGGAACTCCAAGAATCACCTCTCGAAGATAGTCACCAATGAGCAAACCTGGCGGCCGTTAGGACAAATACTCAACGATGACATTGGATGGTGGTCGCGCTATGTCGTAAACTGGCAGAAGCTGGAAATATGGACTATAGGATTCCGACGGAGTGGCTCAGTGGTGACGTGATGGCCATGGAACCTGGAGGTTCTTGATTCGGTCCCTGGTGGGGCGGGGTCATGGATGCGCACTGCTAAGGAGTTCCACACTAGGACAAAACAGCTGCCCAGTGCTTTCAGGCTTCCAATGTTCCTGCAACTGGAGTCAGTCCATGATGAATACCAACTTGAAAAATCTCCTAATCCCCACAAACCCCCCAAATTCAATACTGAAATTATATCCTACGACAGTGCCCAAGTTTTACACATATTAGTTGACGAAAGCTAGTTTGAATACGTGTATCAGTTTATTTCTTCACTTTCTTCCCCTATTGTTGGTGTTATCTGATGTCTCTTTTATATTTAAGTCACATTATCTTGCTGGTATCTCTACTGCTACTTGTTTCAATGCATTAATTTTGCATATTTTTACGCTGACCAGACAAATAAATCAACGTAGGACGTCGCACTAAAGTGCATTATTTCAAATCTCCATACTACACAGCAGCATACAGAGGAAAAGTATACCAAAGTGTGTGTACCAAAGTAGACAGAAGTGTATAGAAAGAGTAAGAATTCGAAAAAGGAAGGTTATTGAAAGTGTCCAAGCATGCCAAAAAAATCGAATACATCTGCATTGTTGTGACCGATTCTCAACCATGTTCACAAGCTTCTCTGACCATTTATTCCTGTTGTCTTGATGACCTCATCTAGACAGTCTAAAACTCCCTATACGTCTCAAATCAGCAGTCAGAGACTTCATAAACTGGTGCTGTCTTAATCAAATTATCCATTACCTTATTCTATCTCAAGCCTTCTATGATTAGTATAACATGCCGAGGTGAGTGACTGCTCGATTTGTGCAGAA